CAAAGAAAGCAAAACAGTGGAGAACGGCCAGACTTTAAGTCACTTTTAACTGGGACCATTGTATGTTCGTAACGCAATTCGTCTAGCATTTTGCAAATCCCAGACGTGGGGGGTGTGAATGATCCCCGAACCACAGCACGTTTTGGGGACCCCGTTGTGTCGGCTCCGCCGCACATCTGGGAAACCACCTTAGAACGCCGTGGCCTGTTCACCACATTGACTAAAGTAACCCCTAGAGTGAAGGTCACCCATAGGTTGGAAGTAAGCGCAATAGCGTAACTGGAAACCGCCCGGGTGCACGAGACGGAGACTGAAGGCGAACGCCAGTGCAGAAAACAAGTGCGAGACCATTTGGCTGGTGAGGAGCCAAAGCGTAGTGCAAGCAACTACCCGACCTCACGCACTGAACCCTAAAGCCTAAACCCGAAACCCTAAACCCTAAACCCTAAACCGCATACGGCAAGTTCTCATCATTAGGGTCCCTGTCTGGGTCACCGAAACTTGCGGGGCCGCCTTTCTAAGAGTAGTCCCAAAAGGGGCCATGATTTAGAGTAATTTAGAGAGCTGACCATATGGTTTGGGGGTTTAGGGTTTAGGGTTTAGGGTTTAGGGTTTAGGGGAGGGTTCTCAGAGGGTCTAGACCCGCCAGGCGGGCGCCTCTTTCAAGGTCAGAGTCAGGTCACTCCACAATCTCTGAGCCAGACTGCAGGGTTTAGGGTTTAGGGTTTGGGGTTTAAGGTCTAGGGTCTAGGGTTGAGGGTTTAGGGTTTAGGGTTTAGGGTTTAGGGGCTTTGCGGTGGGTTTCGAGAAATTGCTGCGGCGCGCAGGTGTACCGAGAATCGGGCGTCAAGGTCGAGGTGAGTTATGAAGGCGGGAGACAGTTGCTTTCCTATTTTTGTTCCTTGGTAGGTTTTGGTTGCAGTATGTTGCCTAACCCCGCAAACCCCCAAACCCTGACTAAACCCTAAACCGAAACCCCTAAAAACCTAAAAACCCTAAACCCTTAAGTTATTGTGTTTCTAGTGCTTGAGGGTATCTGAATCGAGGAACGAATTTGGTGTTTTTTGGAGTCAGCAGGTTCGGGCTCAGGATTTGTGGGCTCAATGCGGGTCTAGGGTTCAGGGTTTAGGTTTTGGGTTTCGGGTTTCGGGTTTGGCGTTTGGAGTCTAGGGTTTAGGGAGGTACCCTGAGCTTCAAGGGGGCATGTTGCGATTTAAGGAGTCAGAAATGAAGTCGAGAAGCCAAGACATAGGAACTGTCAACGGGGACTCAAGAAACCGTAAGCCTAGACCCCACAGCGCCTAAACCCCCCCCAAAACAACTGTTACGCCCTTGGGCCCTAAACCCTCTTGGCCCCTCTTCCCTAAACACCCCTTAAACCCTAAGCCACTAGAGCCTCCAGAGCCCGAAAGCCCCATGGAAATACGGTTCAGGGTTTTATCTTAGAACGCTTAAGCTTCCGAGCCCCTAACATCTTCAAGCGGAAACAGGCGATTGGCTGACAGCCACCACGCTCGAGCTGATTGAGGAGTGTGGTCCAGTGGCTTGGGGTGCCCCGAAGACCTGTATATAAGTTGTAGGTTCTTGGGAGTTTAAGGTTTCACGAATAGTGGCCGCATGGGGACATGGGTAGCTATAAGCAGGGTTACCCCGACAGATATAGCTGTCACCGTACTTGTGCCCCCCAGTTGAAGCAAAACATGCGCTGGACCCCTTTCAGAATAGCCGTAAACCATTCTGAAATCCCAAGTGCTGCACCCTAACCCCTCTACCTGAAACCCTAAACTCCTAAACCTTAAACCCCAATCCTTTCCTGGCAAATTGGTAAGGGGCCCTAGTTAGACTTTCCTGTAGGGCGTCTCGGGTGTTTGTGGCATGTAGCGGGCGGTTGTTCTGGGCGCTTAGGGAGTTTAGGGTAGGCGTGTAAAGTAGGGCGCTAAGGCAGTTCAACTCAAAACCCTAAACCCCTAAACCCTGAACCCTGAACCCTAAACCCTAAACCCCATACCCTAAACCCCTAAACCCTGAACCCCTAAACCCCTAAGCCCCTAAACCCCTAAGCCCCTAAACCCCTAAACCCCTAAACCCCCAAACCCCTAAACCCCTAACATGCAGGGTTCTGTAGACCATGCCAGAAGGGCCTGGTCTTTCAGGTTCTAGGGCTGGAGGACTTCGAACTTCGGGGGCTTTGGGGGCTTCTAGCCTCCAGGGTCTTTAGGGCTCTAGGCTCTAACCCTGAAGGGCTTTAGGACTTGAGGGATGGAGGGCTGGTATTTTCGCTTGGGGGCTTTCGGGTTTTTCATCTTGAGGTGTTGGGGATTCAGGAGTTTTGAATCTGAAGGGTTTAGGGTTTAGGGTTTAGGGTTTAGGGTTTAGGGTTTGAAGGCTTTAGGGCTTAAGGGGTGCAGAGTAGAAGGTGTGTTCGCCACCATCGCGCGAAATCAGCGGCAACAGCAGGTCGTGGAGCTTCATTTGGCAGGATTTATTTAAATAAATATTAAAATAATAAGGATACCAAAAATAATAAACAGTAATGTATTGCTTTTATAAAACAAAAAATGAAACTTTTAGAATTGTTGGTAATTTAATGAATTTATTCTGTAAATCCCAAACTTGTGGAAGTGCCAGGTTTGGTTCCGAAGCGACCGGATGTTGCGGTCGCTGACCGCCACTCCCCGGTGTTCCTAGCCCCCCAAACTCCTAAACCCCTAAACCCCCTAAGCCCCAAACCCTAAACCCAACACCCCTCTGCTTTAAAAGACGGGGACCACGGGCTTGTTGTGCATCCGCATGGCCCGAACCGTGGGCCTAGGGATGCCTAGGGTTTAGGGTTTAGGGTTTAGGGTTCAGGGTTCAGGGTTTAGGGCTTCTGAAGCTTTGGATCCTCAATCCGAAGGTGCCCTTAATTCCCCCCCCCCCCCCCCCCCCCCCCGCTCAATACCTTAGCACCTTATTTCCCTAAACCGCCCTGTGCTCCCCAAGCCTGAAACTCCAGCTTCGGGCTCTTGCGGCCGTGGGTCGTTTATGCACAGGACATCCCGTCGCGGCTAAAAGTCTTGGCCGGCTTCTCACCGACAGGTCTCATCGGTCCAGGAGTGTAGGGGGGAGGGCTTAGGGTCTAATTACCTGGTGGCCTGGGCTTACTTACTCGTACCTAGACGTGTAGCAGCAAGCTGGGTTTGCATATACACAGGTGCATATATGTCATACTGACTCATACGCAACGTGACGAAGTATGCTATGAGTAACCCAGACCTCCAAGAACCCCACAAACTTGAATGTAGGGTTCAGGGTTTGGCCTAGCATGTTTATGTCGAGTTGCAACTGGGGGCGGCACAAAGTAATGAAGCTGTAGGTCTGGCTGGTTGCAACCGTTGTAGCCTTCTTTTCCCAGCTACCCGGGCGCCTCCAAACGAGCCATCATCAACCCTATTTGGTCAGTCCAAATTAGGGTCCCATTTTGGGGTACCTTGAATATGCGGGGCCGTAGTATAGTAGGGATCCAAAACGGGGCCGTCATTCAGAGAACTCACCATCCCCTTCCCAAAGCCTTAAGCCCCCCAACCCAAATCATGCACGTAGTTACAAGTTTCTGCTGGTCACAAATAAGAATACTAAGAAGAAGAATATTCATCATCATAAGAATGAGAATAAGAATAAGAAGAATATCAATAACAACAATCATAAATAATGATAGTACTAGGAATAGTAATCGTAATAATAATCATCATAATAATAAGAATAGTACTAGTCATCATCATAATAATGATAGCGGCACCTTCAGCCTGAAAACCTCAAGGCTCTAAACGCCCTAAGGCAGTCAAAGGTTAGGGTCTGTGACGTTATATGGGTTTAGGGTTTAGGGTTTAGGGTTTATTGTTTAGGGTTTAGGGTTTATGATTTAGGGTCTGGGGGTTGGGGATTCTGAGCCCTCAGCCCTGGCACCAAGGTCAAGATGGAACATGACGACAGCGAAAAGGTGTTCAGCCTAGGTGCCGCCCCGGTTTAGGGTTCAGGGCGCTAGGGTTTAGGGTTTAGGGTTTAGGGTTTAGGGTTTAGGGTTTAGGGTTTAGGGTTTAGGGTTTAGGGTTTAGGGTTTAGGGTTCAGAGCGCTAGGGTTTAGGGTTTAGGGTTTAGGGCTAGGGTTTAGGGTTCAGGGCGCTAGGGTTTTGGGTTTAAGGCCCCCCCCCCCCCCCCACCTCTCAAGGGCGTTTCGGGCTTGGGGCTTCCTAGGCCGCCCTTGCAATCACTGTATGCGCAGATGGTGACGTCTGAAGAAACCCATGAAATAGAAGGTTCCTGAGGAAACCATGAAAGTCATCAGGATGTATATGAAGATGTCGAAGATGTCTATCTGAAGCTATCTCAAACTCTTTGAGCCCCTCCTTCTTTGTTCGCCGGGTTCAGGGCTCCAAGGCTTGAGGGGTGAATTTAGACTGGCTTTTCTTCTGTCAAGTTATAGCATAGCATAGCATGGCATAGCATGTCATAGTATAGTATAGTATTGTATAGTATAGTATTGTATTGTATAGTATAGTATAGTTTCGAAAAATATAGTGTCGTACAGGGGTACATACACACTCCGTTGACCCAATCTGCCGCGCCCGAAACGAAAAGGCTTTGACGAAAGGAGGGTCTGAGCTCAGAGGCTTAGCTCCCAAAAAACTCTAAACCCTAAACCCTAAGCCCTAAAACCCTAAACCCTAAGCCCTAAAACCCTAAACCCAAAACCGGCGGGGGGGGGGGGGGGGGGGGGGGGGGGGCGGGCACTTCTGGCTTCAGCCGGGTAGGTGCGAGTGGTTTTGGGTGTGAAGAAGGCTGGGGCTCTAGGGTTCAGGGGTTGGAGAAGGGTGCCCACTGGAATTGCAGGTCCCTGAAGGTTCCTTGGTACTTGTGTGAGGGTTGTAGGTAAGAAAGCTGTTACAGTTGGTGGCATGGGGTACTTGTACCTACGCACGAACCTTCAAGCAACGCTGGCAAAGACCTTGCTAACCCCCCAGACGTCGTCGCCGCAGTCGACACTTGGCTCAGCCCACTCCTGCAAATGTGCTGGATGTTGAGCATGCTCTGGCAAGAGGAAGCAGAGCGCCTTTGCCTGTCAAACTCTTCTTGGGTTTTTGTGTTCATTGTGGGTGGCCTTTGAGCAAGGCACAGGAGTACATGGTCAAGGACCCTGCAAACACTGCTACAATTGGATTGGGCCTTGAGATCCGGCACTTGGGGTTTAGGGTACCCGCCCTGAGTGATCCCGAAGCCCCTCTCAGTGTCGAGCTTGATGAGGCACGGCCTACAGGCAGCGAAGGCTGGCTGCGGCCACACAGCCCTCTACAAGACGCCTCGCCCGCATGTTGGGTGTGGAGGGTTGAGGGGCCCAAGCTGACACCTCTCAAAGCTTCGACCTTCAGGCACGGGGGCCCCGAACAGCCCCAAGCCCTAAACCCTGAACCCGAAACCCTAAAACCTAAACCCTAAACCCTAAACCCTAAACCCTAAACCCACCCTTACACATGGTCTAGGAAGTGGGGTTTTGGGGGTTCGAGTTTTGCTGTGAGAAGGTTGCAAGGGGCCCTGGGACACGGCGGCACAGCCTTCCTGCACGTGAAGATGCAGGTCCTGCATCATGTTCTTGGGTTCCTGAAATTGCCAGTTCTTGACTTAATCATGAATTAGGGAATTAGGTGCTCTCTGTCTCTCTCTCTCTCTCACTCTCTCCCTCGCGCTCTCTGTACATAGAACCTATACATATATATATATACACACACACATCTTTGTTCTTGTTTTAAAGGGTTGCGTGGGAGTTATAGGGTCAACTCCTTAAATCCCTACTAAGAAAGATCCTGCACCCAGCACCCCAAAGTACCAAGAACAAGTCGATGGGGCCCCTTATGAGCGACTGATAACGCCAAGGATTGTCGGCAAGGCAGGCTTCGTGCCCCACGATCCGCACTTGAAAGTGGCATTTGCAGGGATCGAAGTGTAGTCTAGCTACCCGAAACCCGAAGGCTTATATTTGCCAGTTTAGGGCTTGGAGCGTTTGAAGGGCGTAGGGCTGATAGGGCCTACCTTTGGGGTCTTGGGGTGGGTGGTCGGGGAGGTGAAGCCCACGAAGCCCTAAAACCCCTGACCTTGGCACGCCTTGGGATTCGCCGGGGGGTTTGCCGGAGTCGCCGTCGTGAAGGGGTAAAAGAGGGACCCTTAGGGCTATTCTGGGACTGCTTCGATGCATAAGGACTTATATATAGACACTTCTATGATCTATTTAAGGATTAAGGCCTGTTAGGGGTATCCCCAAATTTTGAGAACCCCAGCCCGCCCTGGTGCGCCTGCCCTCAACGGGCCGTTTCGCAGGGCTTAAAGGTTTAGGTTTCGGGGACTCGGCTTTGACCACCCCTACCAGGGTTTAGGGTTTAGGGTTTTGGGTTTTGGGTTTTGGGTTTAGGGCTAAATTCCCACAGCTTCGACATTGGGGGTTATTTGGCTACTCCGGCCCCATACAATCGACCCTGTGACGATCACACTCTGACTACGCACTGGGTTTCCTGTGAAAGGGGCTGGGGTAACCAACAACTCCTCGACCCTGAGCCCCCTCAACCCTAAATGCCCTAAACCCCCTGAACCTCCCAGGCTCCCAAAACCTCCTAAACCCAAAACCTCCTAAACCCCCTTAACCCCTTGAACCCCCTTAACCCTCTCAACCACCCTAAACCCTCGAAACTCCTCAAAATCCCAGTGCTCCCAAGCCCCTAAATCTCGGGGGCATTCGTCCTTTTGTTCCCTTGCCAAGCCCCTCTGCCGCCCCAAAACCCCCTAAACCCTAAACCCGCTCAACCCTAAACCCTAAACCCTAAACCCCAAACCCTAAACCCTAAACCCTAAACCCAAAACCCGAACCCTAAACTCACCCAAACTCCCCGAAACTCCCTCAAGATTCCCGAGCCAAGGCCCTCCTACCCAGCCATCTTCGGCCGGGCGCACGCTGCTCGGTCTGATCCTCCCCAAACTCCTCTGAGGTGGTATTCAAGGGTATTTAGGGTTTTGGGTTTAGGGTTTAGGGTTTAGGGTTTAGGGTGGTTTAGGGCTTTTGTGGGTGGAGGGTTTAGTTTTTTTTTTTTTTTGGGGGGGGGGGGGGGGGTTTAGGGCTTTTGTGGGTTGGAGGTTCTTGTGGGTTTTGGGGTTTTTTGGGGTTTAAAGTTTTTCGGTTGAGGGTGTAGGGTTTGGGGGTTTGGGGTGTTGGTTTTGGGGTTTGGGTTTGGGGTTTGGGGTTGGGTTTAGGGGTTTTGAGTTGAGGGCTTCGAAGGTTTGGGGGCTAAGAAGGTGGAAGCCCGAGAAACCCAAGACCGTAGCTTTGGCCCCCCCCCCCCCCCCACCCGAAAGCCCGTCTTTAGGACTTCTGCGTCAGCATGATGGACAAGAAAGCGGGGAAGGCCCCCTCCTCGTGGTGACTGGCAGTTGTCGGTTGGGAAGGCTTCAGGGTTTAGGGCTTGGGGTTGTAGAGTTTAGGGACCCGGCGCAGATGCTTCTAGGGCATGTGGTTCGTCATGGGTGTAAGTCCGAGGATCTAACAGGATCTTTGTCTTTAGCTTGATGTGGGGGGGGGGCGGGGTTTAGGGTCAGGGGCTAGAGCTAGGTAAAGGACTGTAGGGACAGCTTTTGCCCCCACCCCTGGCTCCCCCCCCACCCCCCAGCCCCAAAGAAAAGCCTTGGCTTAGTCATGTGACACGGTCCGTATGTTGGGGTTGGGGTTGGGGGAAGCGAAATGCGGGTTCCCGAATATAGGGGGTACCCTTGTTGGGGTCCCTTCAAGGGGATCCGACTCTACTTGGGGGTACCCTATTTTGGGACATGCCCAAATGTTCTTAGAGCTAAAAAGCCTTTACCGCCCGCGAAGTCTAGAGGTGGAGATTGCATGACTTGTCCTGGATTCAGGGTTCTACTTTATAGGGTTCAGGGTCCCGATGTTGGGTGGCACCAGCCCTAAGCCCTCCCAGCCCTACCCCTAAACCCTAAACCCTAAACCCTAAACCCTCCAAGCCCTACAAACCGGGAAGGACGTCGACAGCGACTGCTCGCTACCGAGATTTAGGCCCCGGCGCTCGCTGTTTCGTTTTTTTTTTTTTTGGGGGCGGTGGGGGCACCTTGAAACCGCAAGACCCTGAAGAGGTCAGAAGTAGGGAAGTTTACAGCATGTTACAGCACTTTCGGCTTCAGGTTCTGGGGCTTAGGGCTTTGGATTTAGGGTGTAGGGCTTCTGGCACGTAGACGAAGGACAGCATGTAGACCCTAAACGCGAAGTTAGCCCACAGAGACCCCGTAAACCCTAAACCCTAAACCCCAACAAAGCCTTCTGAGCCCTGAACCCTGTAAGCTCTTGAGCCCCTGTCAGAACGGGCGAGACAGATGAGCCCGAGGAAGCTGCCTGGCCTGTGTTCCGTGCATTTCAGGGTTTAAAGGTTTAAAGCTTTAAAGGTTTAAAGGTTTAAAGATTTAATGGTTTAAAGGTTTAAAGTTAAAGGTTTGGAGGTTAAAAGGTTTAAATGTTTAAAGGTTTAAATGTTTAAAGGTTTAAAGGTTAGGGTTTAAAGGTTAGGGTTTAAAGGTTTAGGGTTCAGGGCTTGAAGGCTACTCTCCAAGCCCCAAACCCCGAACCCTAAACTTAAACCCCTGATCCCAAACCCCTGAACCCTAAACCCCAAACCCCAAACCCTAAACCCTAAACCCTAAATCCTGAACCTGAGCCTGAAGCGCTTTAGGCCTCTGAAGTCTTGTTTAGGGTTGTTGTGGCTTGTGGTTTAGGCATATCTTCAACTGGGTCTTGGTGTACCATACTTTAATACTTTTTTTGGTTCTGGGTTCCTATTATAGCTACTTATACCTAAAAGTATATACTTTTTTTCAGGGTTTACTCCCAAGCTAAGTCAAGGGTTTCAAGGTCAGGCTTTCGGTACAGTATGGTGAAGGTTCAAGGTTTAGGGCTCAGGGTTTAAGCGTTTGGTGTGTGGTGTTTTTAGTGTTTATAACCCTAAACCCTAAACCCTAAACCCTAAACCCTAAACCATGTAGTATATCGTCAGCAAATTTGATGTTGATAAGGTTGGGGTGTGTTTGGGGCCATTTTCCTTCGCGCTCGGGTCTTTGCGAAGGGTTGGCCCTGGGATCGGCAGCAACGCAGGAGAGAGTCCATCCGGACCAGCAGCCAGGGTTTAGGGTTTAGGGTTTAGGGTTTAGGGTTTAGGATTTAGGGTTTAGGTTTTAGGGTTTAGGGTTTAGGGTTTAGGTTTAGGGTTTAGGGTTTAGGGTTTGGGGCTTACTCTAAGCCGTAACAGCACAAATTCTAACTCCGGAGTTGTGTCGCAGACCTGATCGCGCCGGAAAAACCCAGAGTCTACCGAACCTCAAACCCGAAACCCTGAAACCCCCAAACCTCCAAACCCCCACACCCCACACCCCAAACCCATAAACCCCACACCCTCAAACCATAAACCCTAAACCCCAAACCCCAAACCCTTAACTCTAAACCCTAAACCCAAACCCCCAAACCCCATTTGTCCGTGGGACAAGGACTCTGCGAGCCTCTGTGAGTTCTCCGACCTAGACTCGGAGGCGGCGCTTGGGGCCTTCGCAAAGGGTTCAGGGTTTAGGGTTTGGGGTTTAGGGGTTTGGGTTTAGGAAGTTTACGGCTCAGGGTTTAGGGTTTAGGGTTTAGGGTTTAGGGTTTGGGGTTTAGGGTTTAGGGGTTTGGGTTTAGTAAGTTTACGGTTTAGGGTTTAGGGTTTAGGGTTTACGGTTTAGGGCTTAGGGTTTAGGGTTTAGGGTTTAGGGTTTGGGTATACAGGGGATCCTCTACCCCATAAGCCCTGCACCTCTCTCTGGGATATTGAAGCAGTTCCTTCAGGGTCGAAGGCTCAGGTTTAGAGTCTTTTCCCGAGTGCTTTTAAGCTTAGGGTTAGGGTTTGGGGTTCTTGCAGGGCAAGGCTTACCCAAAAGCCGCAGGCGGTAAACGGCAGCGATCTCCCACACGCCGAAATGGCGCTCTGACACTAAACCCCGAAATCTAACTCGAGAACCAAGGATGAGCAGGCGGCAGGCGCGAGCAGCTTGCTGTTTACGGCGGAGAAGCCCCAAACCCTAGTAGACCCTAAGTCCGAAACCCTAAACCCTAAACCCGAAACCCTAAACCCTAAACCCTAAACCCTAAACCCTAAACCCTAAACCCTAAACCCTAAACCCTAAACCCTAAACCCTAAACCCTAAACCCTAAACCCTAAACCCTAAACCCTAAACCCTAAACCCTAAACCCTAAACCGACGGAAGGACATGGAGATGGACGGAGACCTCGCGGTGCCTCGGGCCGTGGTTGAGGGTCTAGGGTCCAGGGCCAGGGCTACCCTAAACCTTATAGACCCCAAACCCTAAACCCTAAACCCTAAACCCTAAACCCTAAACCCTAAGCCCTAAGCCCTAAGCCCTAAGCCCTAAGCCCTAAGCCTTATAGACCTAAAACCCTAAACCCTAAGCCTAGCTGGTTGAGGTGGGCTTTGGGGATGGGGTGATTTACCGCCATATATCTGGGGACCCCGGGACCAGTGGCGAATGAGGGAACATTTTGGGGCTTCAGGCTTGTGAGGGGCTTCTCAGGGTACGTAAAAGGCCAGTTCCAAAGGGTCCCCCAAGCCAGCCCTCAAAGGGGTGTCCCACTAAGAGCTGAAGACCTGTAGACACTTTTTTTGCTGCAGACCGGCGGACCCCTGCGGAATACTCTAAAACCTTGGGACGTTCCCCCTTACACTAACAGGCCTGAATAGGGATTTTGGTACCTGATTATAATCCCATTAAGGACTTTTAGTGTAAGGCGGAACATATCGAATCTAGGGTTCAGACTTTGAGGTTCCGGATTCTGCTATAGGAATTATATCAGGGGTCGGAATACTTGCCCTTATGCTGCCTACATACCTATACGACAATAACCCCCTCAAAAGCCCATTCTAATTCTTGAGGCCCCTAGGAATTCGGCAGCCACCCCCCCCACGGGCTGCACCAGGATGTGACGCAGGATGTGGCGATTCGAGCCCAGGGCAGCAGCTTCGGGGGTTTGTGATTTTCAGGGTTCTGGGGTTAAAGGTCTCAATCAATATCCCTAAGCCCTAAACCCAAAACCCGCAGGACCTGATACACGATGGGTCTTAGAGGCTCGGAGTTTGTGCTCTTGCCGGGCGGGAGTTTGACGACTAGGACGAATACTAAGAGCCCCTTCCTAGAATTCCCAGGCGTGTTGGCGGCCAAGTTAGTATCCGTTCAACTAGGATTTAAGGTTTAGGGCTTAGAGCTTGGGGCTAAGGGTTTGGGGGTATGTAGGGCTTCGGCGGTTTAGGTTTTGGGGCCTCTTGGGTCTAGCTGTAGGAGACTGGCAATGCAGTCTTGCTTGCCTCCCCCATGGGTCCATGCGCCTATTTATACATTTTCTACTCCTCAAGCTACTATTTCGGAACCCCACTAAGGCTTAGGTATGTTTCAGTGTTTTTTTATATGGTACATGGACCCTTTGGGTACACCCTATCCCCTACAATCTAAAGTCACAGTCCAGGAGAAGTACCCGAGCACGTGCAGGACAAAATCTTTAACTGCGCTCGTGCTGTTGCGGCATGCGTGCTCGACGGTAGCTGCGAGCATGGCGAGTTTCAACTGCCGCTCGGCCCAGTTTAGGGCTTTGGGAAACTTCAAACCTGAAACCCTGAACCGTTTAGTGGGGCTTATGCCAGGAAATCCTGTGGTCCACGCCTGCTTCGGAGTTTTCCTCCCGGTATCACAGGTTGGTTGCTGGGGCTCTTGGGGATGTTTGGGGTTTCTGCTTGATGCGCTTCAGGTTTGGGGCTGATAAGCTAAACCCTAAACCCTAAACCCTAAACCCTAAACCCTAAACCCTAAACCCTAAACCCTAAACCCTAAACCCTAAACCCTAAACCCTAAACTTGTGCGCCCGGAACCCGAGGAATCCGCGGTCCTGGTGGAGTCTATATTTCTGGGTCTACTAAGGGTTTACGGTTTAGGGTTCCGGGCTCTTGGGTGGCATACACTTTGCTACCTTTTCGGCGTCAGTCTGGTAAAAGTTACCAGAACACAACTTTGAGTAAGTCCACCCTCAGCACCCATGCACAGAAAGGATCTCCGATGGCTTCGAGGAAGAGTTCGGCTACACGAAGCAGGCCGCACCTTAAAACCCTAAACCCTAAACCCTATACCCTAAACCCTAAACCCTAAACCCTAAACCCTAAACCCCAAACCCTAAACCCTAAACCCTAAACCCCAAACCCTAAACCCTAAACCCTCAACCCTCAACCCTAAACCCTAAACCCATTTTGAAGAGGTGGTGTCCGTTTAGGGGGGTCGGCTGAGGGTACAAAGAGCCCACCTCCTGAACACGTAGCAATCATGTCAGACATCGGCTTGGAGGCCTAAAAAGGGCGTGGTGGTAGGGTTGTAGGGTTTAGGGTTTAGGGTTTAGGGTTTAGGTTTAGGGTTAGGGTTTAGGGTTTAGGGTTAAGGGTTTAGGGTTTAGGGTTGAGGTTGGGCTATGGCAACCTGTGCCCGCGTGTGACAGATTGCAGGCGTGGTGTTTCAGACAACATCGCTTGGACAACGGCGGAGTTTGGTTGTGTTCTCTCATGTACCATCATGGGGCCAAAGCAGCCTCTTTGGCCCTAAGTAAAATTCAGGCCGCTTCTAAACCTGAACCCTAAACCCTAAACCCTAAACCCTAAACCCTAAACCCTAAACCCTAAACCTTAAACCTAAACCCTTCAAGTCCCTTTGTGCAGTGACCCGAGGAGCTTTGTGGCAAGCCAGTGCTTCGTTTGTTGGCGGAAGATGCTTGCACGAGATGGCATTCTGGTTTCCACGATCCTAGGTTTTAGGGTTTAGGGTTTAGGGCTTAGGGTTTAGGGTTTAGGCCTAAACTCGTAAGCCCTAGCAGCCACACACCACAAAGCCCTGGAGCTCAGTAAGCCCCTACGAAACCCGAAGCCCAAACCCTGAAACCGAGTCCCAAAAAAAGACTGAGGGCTCATTTGGGGCATAAAGGTCGCTTCTGCTTGGAATTTCCAGTTCCATTTCGACCTTTCGACTGGCCATGAGGACCTCTTCGACTCTTCGTGTGCTCTTTGCGTACCTACATGGGCTGGCAATCTTACTTCCGAGTCGATCTGGTAACACTCTTTTGCGCAGTCGATTATCAGGAATGTGTGCATATGGATGCATAGCCACGTGTATGTGTATATACAAACAAGGTTTTTTATTGGCAAAGCCCTTTCGCCGGATCTTCCCTTCGTTATGCCTGCGTAGACCCCCTAAAGAGTGAGCGGCCATGAAGACATTCAAGAGCATCAAGAACACGTCCAAAAGGCACCAAGAGCCCAGAAGCAGAAGTCAGTGTTGGACGCACTGCTTGGGGAATACCACGTCTCATAAACGGTACATGGACATCCAGCTCGAAAGCTGAAGAGCAACCAATCCCAACTCCCTTGAAGTGCCACCTCAGAGTGCAGATGGGAATCTATGGCATGTCGGGACATCCTCATTTCTAAAACTCCTTGAGGTTTTCCCAACCCCTGTTTTTTCAAATCGGGTAAGCTTGTCGAACTCTTGGGGAAGGTCCGGGAGAGCCCCAAGCTCCCCAAGCCCTAAAACCTGAAGCCTTAAGCCTTCGGAGCCTTCGGCTTTCAGGAATGTCGGGCAAGGCCAGGGGTTCCTAAGATGCAAGTATTCTCGTGTGCCAGGGGCGTTTCGATCCCACGATATCTGAGACTTACCACATGTCAGGGGGGCTTCAAGCGGCGTCTTGCGAAGGTTAGAAGGCACGTTTCAGCCAGGGCTTGTTTCGAAGTCGGATCTAAGGTGCCCCAAAGGTTATAGCAGGCTTATAGCAGGCTGGCAACTCATCGTTCGGGATCTTATGTCTTTGCTGCCAAGGATACGTGGGCAGAGTATGCCCTCGACTGCCATTTCAATCGCGTTGCCTTGGAAGGCGCTGAAGACGTTGAGTTCGTTGGAGTTACTTGTGGGATTCAAGGATTCAACAGCACACGTCCTAGTAAGACTACCAACATCTTCATGGGTTTGGGGTTTAGGGTTTAGGGTTTAGGGTTTAGGGCGGGATCGTCGCGAATGACCAGGGATGTGGTGAGTAAGTTCCTAGCAAGTTGTGCGCTCCTGCGTTATTCCATTGAGCAGCCGCGTGACCCTACAGGCCCTGGGCTGTGCCAGACAGGTGCTTAAATTAGTCTTTCACAGCTTGGCGCACAGTAAAGTCGATGTGGTTCTATCGAGTGGCCAGCCCTACTCCACTTCCAAGGAGTACGGGGCAGTTGAGTTTGCATGAAGATTCCTGATTGGCGCTCATTTTGAGGTCTGTGTTCAAACAGTTCCACAAGAAATGGTCCCTTTTTGTCTCTGCCATGGTGCACCTAGTTCAACTGCTCTGGCTCGTTCTTGCCATGCGGCCTGGCACAAGCGCAAAGGTTGCGAGCAATGAATGTGAGGGAGATGAGACCTCTTGGCTGCAGTTCAGACGGATCCCGGGGTGTGAAGAGTTGCAGAAGGAGAACAAGGCATTGAAAGCAGAGTTGAGCGACAAGGACAAAATGGTGCCTCATACACCTCAGCTCGCAACCTGTCTGAACAATTGAACTCTGGAAGCGCGTTGTACAGGGCCCACGTCAAGAGCGCATAATTTCCGGATGCGCCGCTCATGGCACGAACTGCGAAACCAGAATTATCACGATAGGCTGGGCACTTGGGGTCAATGACCAGCTGTTCGGCCCAATCAGCACTCGAAACACACTCCACGGTTCCACGGAATTTGTAAGCTTCGATAATGGACGCGATCTCCTGGTTCAGACCTTCAAGCTGGTGCTTCGGAATCTGGGTGGCAGCTGGATGCTGACTTAAAGGGGTCGAAGCTCAGGGTGTCACGCCAGCAGACAGATTCGGAGAAAGGTCCGCCATCAGCAATGCAGGTTTGGCAATCGTCTGGGCGTCAATAGACTGCTACAGCTTTGTCCATCATGGCACATCCTGGAGTTTTGCAAGTCAGCAAGCATTTGCGGACGTTGGCAACAATGATGTAAGTCTCGGAGGCAGCTTGCTGGTGTACGAGCGAATCCCACAAGGCCAGACGCTACGAACTTTCGAGTTTCAAGGGGGCAGCTGGACCCAGAGGCAGGACCTGGAGTTTCCTGTTGGCACTCTCAACAGGTGTCACGCAACGGACGGCGAAACACTGGTCGTCAACCGAGCCTTCTCCTGACGGTCGAGGAGACACTTAGTAGATGAGTGAGTGCACTTTACACTTTTTGGGATGCTATACTCCCCTATAGAACTGAAAGTGTACATCAGCACCTCAGGACAAGGCGGGTCGTTGCGATGTGGGCGGCAACTTTGCGACCGTAGGTTGGCAATGCTCGTCAACTGCCTGCTGACCGGATCAGTTTCTTACCTAGCTATAGCAAATCGCTGAACTTTAAACTTTGTTGGGTTTCCTTATGTGGTAGGAACATTAAAGTTTAACCCTTCCTTATTTGGTAGGAATATTAAAGTTTAACCCTTCCTTATTTGGTAGGAATATGAACGTTTAAACCCTTTCTCCGCTTGGGAGTAAGGTTTGTCATCTACAGGCGCCAGGGCGATCCTTGGGTGCAGGTCTTGCAGACTGATGTCCCGGACGACGAAGAAGCTAGGCTGCCCTTGGGCCATTCTGTTATCTTCCCTTATTGGGTTCAAGAGGAGGATCATAACCCTTAAACCCCTAAACCCTAAAACCATCACACCCGAATATTTTTCAGAGTGTTAAGGGCCATGCTAGGAGGTCAGCGATGTGAAAATCTTGGGCACTGGCCGCGCAGCGCTTCTGTCGCAGCGACAGCTGTCGGACAAGGTCCTCCGTATCTATGAGGTGGATTCTTGGCGGTAGTAGGCGTCGTCGTCGTCGTCGTAGTAGCAGTAGTAGTAGCAGTAGTAGTAGTAGCAGCAGTAGTAGTAGTAGTAGTAGTAGGAGGTGTAGTAGGTGGTGCCCTTTTGCCTGCTTGTTTGCTGGCTCCAAGTTCCCCTATACAGAAGCCCTAAACCCTGAACTGCCCTAACCCCCCCCCCTCCCCAAAAGGGTAGGGTAGTTTAGGGTTTAGGGTTTAGGGTTCAGGGTTTAGGGTTTAGGGTACCCTCCTTATTAGATTCAGGTAGTTGTCAAAATTAGTTAGGGCCCCTTTTTGGACACCCAATATATTAGGTGCCGCCTTATACTAGGGACCTCAGAGGGACCATACTTTTGCCAACCGCTCATTTAGGGTGTAGGGTTTAGGGTTTAGGGTTTAGGGCTTAGGGTTTAGGGTTTAGAGTTTAGGGTACCTTTGTTACTAAGGATTCCATCGGTACCTGGAGCTTGGTGAAAACCTACGAGCTGGACATGCTGACCACAACCGTGGGCCTGTCAGAGACTTAGCAGCCCAGTGGCGCCCGTGAGCTCATTGCTTTGGGGGTTTAGGGTTTGGGGTTTAGGGTAGGGTTTAGGGCTTAGGGCAAAGGGCTCAGGCCTTGGGGCTTAGGGATGTTTAGGGTTTAGGGATGTTTAGGGTTTGGGGTTTGGGGTTTAGGGTTTAGGGTTTAGGGTTTAGGGTATCCAAAGGGTACCCTTGTTAGAATAAGGTTCCTGGGCGACCAAGGAGAAGGCGGCGGTGCTTGCTGGCCACACATATACTCAAAATAATAGGCTTGCCCAGGCTGGCACAATTTACGGTTGCAATGCTACCGCCCTTCAGCCGGAGACTACAACCTCGGAGACTACAACCTCCCAGCCTACGCGCACATACGACGACTTCTGCGTCTCACTCTTACTACGCTCGATGTCCTTCATGGTGTAGAAACTATCGACGTGGCAGGCGAAGTCGGGCTTGCAGGCGCCGGTGCCACTAGCAGCCGCAAGAGCTGGACGCACGGTCATTCCAAAGTGATTAAAGTGATGGCTTGATCAAGCTCATCTCTCACTTCGGTGCTACTACTCACCCTTTGTATCTTTTGAAAGAGTATCAAGTGAAGTGCCAGGGCCAACCTGGGGAGGTGGCTAAGCCCGCCTCCCCACTTAAGGCTTAGCCTGCGCAATCCCCTCCCTTCTGACATAAAAGTGTTTTGCTGGACTGAGCAGCGCTTGGCGAACTTCCAGGCTAAGGGGTTTAGGGTTCAGGGTTTAGGAGTTAGGGTTTAGGGTTTAGGGTTTAACTACTATTTGCTTAAGAACACCCAACAAATATAAAATTGTAAGCCCTATATTACCCTTATATGGCAGATTTTTTTTTTTTTTTGGGGGGGGGGTGTTCTTAAGCAAGTCGTAGTTACGTGGAAGGTTCTATCAGCATGGCTTTGGATTTGAGCTTCACGTGGAATTTCATGTATGGGTTACGGGTTTGAGATGCAAAGATCAGAAAGCCACGGTGAAACTGCAAACGGCACAACGCGCCGTCGTAGCCAGAAGCCTGGTATGTCCAGCCTGTTACACCTCCAATCTTCATTCTAAGCAACCCAAACAACCAGAAACCGCCACAGTTTGAAGTAACCCATACATAACTACGCTTGACAACAAACCCTAACAACCCTACTCGGGTCTTAAGCAGCGTAAGCAACAAAACCTGACAGCCGCAATGAAGCCCAGGAGTCTCTGAACCTTCAAAACCTGAACCCCGACCAGCAAGCCTAGCTAGATCCCAAACACTAAGCCCTAAACCCTAAACCCTGATTCAACCCGAAGCGAACTCTAAGCCCTAAACCCCAAATCCAAAGCCCTGATTCAACCCGAAGCAAAACCTTGCAGGTGCCCGCGAAACCATCACAGCCCCTCTCCGATGCAAGACGGGCGAACTTATCAGCAAGACCTGGACGATGGAGAAGGCTCATTCCGCAGCAAAGCCCTAGGCGTCCCAAACCTCAGCCCCAAAGCCTAAATCTTTCGGCTTCTTTTCTTGGGGGGGCTGATGGTTGTGTGGGTTTGGGAGATGTGGGCCCTTGAGAAAGCCGAAGTCGCTCCAGCTGAGCAGGTTAAGTTTAGGGGGTCACTGGCTATCCTTATTTGAGTGAGTCTCAGCTATGAGGGGCTCAAGGTTGAGACTTCAGGGGTTTGAGAATCAAAGGTTCAGTGGGATGTACCCGGTTTGGGCTGGTTTAAAGGGCTCAGAATCTGGATCAGCACGCGAATGCGCAAGACGGAATTTGGACCCCGAACCCTCCAAACTCCAAAAACCGGACGCCTCCAAGGCCCAAGCCCCTTTCAGGTGACCGTCCAGGACACATCACTTCTAGTTCTGATGCCGTCCTCCACTGAGGCGAGGGGGGGGGAGTGAGGGTTAGTAGTGTAGGGACCTTTCAGCCCACGAGCCGATAAAGGTTGTGTCCCACAACCCTCCTAGGGATTAGGGATTAGGGTTTAGGGTTTAGGGTTTAGGGGTTTAGGGTTTAGGGTTTAGGGCTATAAGCCCTGAGGCTTGAACAGCAGGCACGAAAGTCCTGAAACCTTGAACCCAAAGCCCTGAGCCCCAAGCCCTGCTTGAAAGTACTGGTTTAGGGTTTAGGGTTTAGAGTTTAGGGTTTAGTGTTTAGGGTTTATGGCTACTCTTGGTACTGCTAGAGAGGAGTGGTATTGTCAGCTATAGGCTATAAGCACCAAAGCCAGGTCATCATCACTATGCACTTCCGATACATAGAATTACCCACGAACCTCCACATTCGAGGGACTAAAGGAGGGACCCTTATAAGGGACTTTAGGGGTTATTTAGGAGTCATCTGGGGGCTACTTCGGAATATAGGGACTATATGAGGTATATCTAGGGCCTCCTTTTCCCAGAAAAAAAACATGTAGGTCACGATTTTAGTGTTCAGGGTTAAGGGTTTAGGGTCTAGGGCTTAGGGCTTAGGGCTTAGGGCTTAGGGCTCAGGGCTTAGGGCTTAGGGCTTAGGGTTTAGAACTCTTTTTTTGGGTCCCTGGCTCTGTGCGTCAACACTAAAGCTTAAACTCCGCACTCAGACTCTGCTCTCGGTTCCGTTGAGGGTTGAGGGTTCAGGGTTTAGGGTTTAGGGTTTAGGGCTAGGGTTTAGGGTTTAGGGGTTAAGGGTTTCTTGGGCCAGGAACCTCTAACCCGTCGAGGGGTCTTCTTTCTGCTTTTTTCTTCTTGAGGGGAGGGGGTGGTGGAGGGTGGGGGAGGAGATCCCCGAATTCCGGCGCGGCCATCCCTTGGCTCTCTTAGGCTCAGCGACTTCTTCGGGCCTGATACGGCCCAAATTGGGTTTAGGGTTTGGGGGCTTATGGTTTAGGGTTTAGGGCGTGGGAGCGTTGGTGGCCTTAGTATGCCCACCCAGACAGACACTCGCAGCGAACCCAGCCGGAGCGAAATCACACCAAGCGAAAGCCATTCCAAGTTCACATTGTTCAGGGAAAACTTAGGACACTTGGTCGCGAACGCTTCGGCTTGCGGGCCCCATGGGACACTTGGAAAAGAAATCCAACTGTTGGCAAGCTTGGAAGACCCCAAAACAACTTCCGAAGCGGCCCCCCCAAAGACTTTCTCAAGTGGCCCCCCCCGTTTTTGTTAAGGGCCTTCCAGGGCCCCTTCGAGTTCAGGGCCTTTCAGGGGCCCTTTTGAGAGGACCTAGAGCGAGTTTCGCCCCGGGGCTGCCTTGGCACCGGCCTTTCTCTGAGCTTCTTAGTCCCCAAAGGCACCGACCGGCCTGGCAAGCTCCCGGGTCTCTCCCTTGAAAAACCAAGTGTTTGGGCAGTTGCACCGGCTGAACTGCCGGAGGTCCCCTGAGGTGCCGGCAGCAACCAGAAGGGCACACCAGCCTGGCGGCCAAAGCTTGCCAAGGCTTCGCAGAAGGAGAGGGTGGGCCTAGGGTAGCCTTAGCACTAAATCCCCCTTGGGAATTATTTTTCATTCTTGTTTATATAAAACCCAAGAGGATATGGGGGGTTCCTTGGCTCTGGACAAGCTTCTCGGCCCTTAAACACTCCTGGCCCTCAGCCCCAAAACCTTGAACACCATAAAGCTGCAAGCCCTGAACCCTCAAAGCCCTACACCCGAAACCCTACACCCTCATCCCTAAGCCACCAAAACCGTCAAAAGCAAGAGCCGGGGAGTTGCAGAAGAAAGAAAGCAACTGCAGGCGGATGGCTTCAAGCCGGCTGATCTCTTCACGGCATGAGTCCGCAGACAGCCTCGAAGCCGCAGGCCTCTGCGCCCGTTTTGGGGGCTTATAGGGTTCAGGGGGGCTTTCTTGCGTGTTGCGGTTTAGGGTTTAGGGTTTATAGGGTTTGTAGGGTTTTTGGGTTTTTTGGGTTTTTTTTGTTTTTTTTGGTTTTTTGGGTTTTTTTGGGTTTTTGGGTTTATAGGGTTTATAGGGTTTATAGGGTTTATAGGGTTTATAGGGTTTATAGGGTTTATAGGGTTTATAGGGTTTATAGGGTTTATAGGGTTTATAGGGTTTATAGGGTTTATAGGGTTTATAGGGTTTAGGGTTTTTGGTTTGGGCTTAGGGTTCAGCATCTCAAGTCCAAGCATTCACTAGTCGAGCTTTTTCATGGAGAAGTACCCACCCACCCCATAGCATGTGGACATATAAAGTTCGCTCAGTCATTCAACCAGGCTCCATACCCCAGGGCCCTCAACCCTAAACCCTAAAGCACTCACTTCAGGCTTTTTCGGTTTAGGGCCGTCCATGAAGAACGTTAGAAACCAGCTTCCATCCACCTCAGTATAGTCGGGGTCTTCAGGAGCGGGGGGTACAGGGCAGATTCGTGGTTGAGGGTAGGGGGCCGGGCAAGGTCACACGAAGAGCGGGCATGGTCCACATGACCTTGCCCGCTCTTTATGTGACCTTGCCCGCAGGAGAGGCATGACCTTGCCCGCGAAGTCATGAACATTTACATGATATCTGGTAGGGCGGCTTAGGGTTTAGGATTTAGGGTTTAGGGTACTGAAACCCCTCAAACCCTGTAGTTCCGCACCCCCATTCCTGGCATCGAACCACCTAGGAGTGTGTTGAGGGTTTGTGGTTTAGGGTTTTGGGGAGGGGGGGGTTGGAAACCCCACGGGTACCGAGCTGGGATCCCATGAATTGCCGAGGCCACGGTCATCTGTGAGCAACTGCTTTGCTGCTGACGGCTGCAAAGACCTGGCGGGGAGGGGGGGGGGGCCCATCCAATCCAAGCTCTTTTTGCTCGCTCTATGCTACCCTAAACTGGAAGGAGTATTCTTATGCGACCGTGTCACTGAGGAGCCTAGTAGATTCCTGAACCCTAACCCCTAATCCTTAAACCCTAAAACCATAAACCCCAAACCCCAAACCCTAAACCCTAAGCCCTAAACCCTATATACTCCCCCCGCCACCGCCAGATAGCAAGATGGACCTACTTAGACACAGCCCCGAGCCTCATGCTCCAGAGCACGGTCCGACATGCCAAGACATGGGCAGCAGCCTAGGATGGTCTAGGGTTTAGGGTTTAGGGTTTAGGGTTTAGGGTTTAGGGTTTAGGGTTTAGGGTGCGGAGCTGCAATTGGTATTGTAGAAAGGAGTTAGTGTTGGAAGTTGGAAGGGTTAATGAACCCGCTAATCGTATTTGGCTCAAGATGGGCTTGAACAGAAAGCCACAAGTTCAAAAAGTAGTGCCTGGGTTCTTAGGGTTTGGTAAGGGTGTGGATTCCTTCCCCCTTTCCTTCCCCCCTGGGTTGTTCTTATCCGTGTTCTTGGTTGTTTCTCGGTTCGATCTGGGAAATATAAGTTCAGGGCGATTAGGGGAGTTGATTTCCTTCCTTGGTTGTCCCCCCGTAGGTTATGAGCCCAAATTAGGTTCCCTGCGGTTAAGTGTTCTTTCAAGGTTTTGGGATCAAGAAGCAATGCCTTCTCCGAAGCGATGGCTCCAACTTGCCTCGGATGGTGGACAAGATGGTGGAGCTGGAAATGGTGCAGCTGAGTCTCTGGGTGAAAGATCGGTGTTGGAAGAGGTGATTCCCGACGCTGAAGTACATCTGGAAGAGGCCTTGGTTGCAGAAAGCCCCAATGCGGGTATGAATCCCAATAGGGATATGGTTAGCAATGCTGAAGCTGAAGGACGTGCTGTTTCTGTACCGCCAAAGCCTGGTGAAAAAAGGAACTGGGATGCGACTGGTGGCATAGATCGTGAAATGGAGGTGACTGTTTTACGAGTGTTACACAAACACGGGTACCAGCCGTCGTCTTCGACTTCGGGTCGAATGGTAGACCAAGAGTCTCAGACCGATCTGATTGGAGAAGTGCTACAAGCGACCAGGAGGCCGTTGAACAAGATCAAAAAGGGTCCATCTTCGAGTTCCCAAGGTGGTGGAAGCGGTCACAAACAGAAGGGTGCGGACGGCTTTGAAGCTGCACCTGCTGCTGAATACGCCATGGGGGAGGAGGAGATCCTACAGATGGAGGCTGAACGGTTGCGACAGCTGTCAGAAGAAGAGGACGAGATGCGACAGGTTTCTGAAAGGGACGGTTTTCGGAAAGACGAGCATCTGATCCAAGCGTGTGATGGCACAATGTGGGAATTGCACCTCCATGAAGATGGGAGACAATATTATTACTGCCTGGATACGCACGAAACCAAGTGGACATTGCCGGTGGTAGGTGAAAAGGTGAAGAGTGACGAGGTGGTTGGGTCTCCTTTGGGCAATGAGCTGGAAATGGAGGCGGCACTGGATTCTTCATCCTCTACTCCGAAGACTGAGTCTACGAGGGCATTCCAGGGTAGTGTAAATAGTTTAGGTGAAAAAGATTTTTCCTCTACTATCAGGGATAGCGGTCCTAGGGCTGATGGTGACGCCCCGACCTCGGGTTCTCCTGATGAGGAAGGGATTCCTGGGAACCAAGCCAACATCGCTGGAGCTCAACACCTGGATCGGGAAGAAACAGAAGCGCTTTCTGAGGGTGGGGCAGCGATGGAATTGGTGGATCCAGAAGAGAAAATGCCCAATGAGGTGATCGGAACTGTGTCGGCTGCAGAAGAGCGAGTGGTGGATGTGGTACCTGTTGTTCAGGAAGGTGGTCCTGGAGATTCGGAGGATGGAGAGAAAAAGTTGTGTGTTACGACTGAGGAGGTCTCTTCGTTTGGTGCCAAGGATTCTGCCATTCAAGGGGAAAAAGAAGCTTCTGGAATAGCTGGAGACACGGATGATCTGAAAAATGAGGCCTGGAGCGCCAATGATGCGCGGGTTGATGCGCCAGATATTACCTGGAGTGCGAAGGAAGCACGGGTTGAGGTGCATGTGGTGGTACGTTCCACGGGCGACTGCAACAATGGGGCGCAGGTCTCCGCAGCAGCTGATGATGGAGGTTCACAGGTGGACGCACTGGTGCAACCTGAAGTTAGCAGCGAGGAACGAAATGACAAGGGCTACACCGGAGCCAATGAGGCAGCTGTGGTCAATGATGGTGGAAATTCTCCTTTGGAGGCCATGGAACCAAAGGAGCCTGCGGTGGAAGAAAGCGTGCCTGCCGTGGATGATCGACTCAATTGCCCTGCAGTGGAAGAAGATTTGCCTGCTGCAGAAGGTGAGACAAAGGACTCCAATGATGGGTCCACTCCCATGAAGGGAGAAGCGTTGCCGTCTGGAAGTTCACCGGAAGTCGACACCGAGCGAACTACAGCAGATGAGGCAAAGCCGTTGGCGGAGAAAAAGGGAGGTCCTGAAATCCAGGAGCACAAAAAAGATGAGCTTGTGGGACTCGTGGAGCAGGACGAGCAGTGTGACCCAAAGGTGAAGACAAAGGATGCGCCAGGAGCCGATGATACAGAGATGGTTTCTGAAGAGCGTGTAAAGAAAGTGCCCCGAGCGGGAGCCTTGGAGTCACCTGGGCCACATTGCTATCAAGAGGGAGATGAGATCATGGGTCTAGTGCGCTGCATCAATGGGTATGGAGCCTTTTTGGACCATGGGGATATGAATGTATTGATTCCTGCAGAAGGGAACAATGCATATCAGTTCAAGTTTGGTGATACTGTCAATGGAACAGTGAAACGAGTGGAAGATGATGGTACCATAATCTTGGACACCTTTCTGGTTTTGGAAGAGGACGTGGAGGACTCTTCTTCGACGCTGCGGAAGTGGAAACCCAGCGGCTGGAGTACGTGGTGGACGGATTCATGGTATGCTGGTCAATGGTACCAAGATTCCAACGGTCAATGGGACTGGAAACAGGAGGAAGAGCAATCCGATGAAGAGCTTGTGGTACAGGAGTTGTCTTCTGAAGAACGAAAAGAAAGGCAACTTTATGGAGAAAAGATCTACAAAGCTCTTCTGGAGAATGGAAATGAAGAGGAAGCCTATGTTGGCAAAATTACTGGGATGCTGTTAGGTCGGCCGATGGAAGATTTACAGGAGTGTGTTGCGGATCAGGCATTCCTCAATGCGGAAGCTCGGCGCGCGTATGGCATCTTGCAAAATGATGGTTGGAAGCCTGATGGTACAGAAAGCACAGGCTTGGGGAAGTTAACCACTTTTTCCCGAAAACAGTACCACAACGCGCTTTTCGAACTGGCATGCAGAAAAAGGAGATTTTCTCGACCAGTTGTGGGTGAAGCGGTGGCAACGGTGCTGAATCAAGGGGAAGATGAGTTTTGGAACGCGCTTTGGTTGGACACCAAGCTATTTTTGCAGGAGCTTGATGGTGCAGTGCAATCCATGAGCAAAAGGGAGAACAAGCCAATGGAAGCCTACATGGATCCTGACCAGTACAAAAAGGCTTACATGACACCAAAGACGGTGTTGTCACCTGGTTACAGCAAGCTGTGCAGGTTCTTCAATAAGGGAAGGTGTCGCAATGGCGATGGGTGTCCCTATGAGCATCGTCGGTACGGTGAAGGTTGGCCAGAAGGGGGGTCAACTGATCCAAAGAATAGCCAAGAAGCTGATGATGAGGACGGGAACATCGGTGACCCTCCCACAGAGGAAGGTACAGTGGATGAGGCACAGCAGGAGCAGGAGGATTTAGCCTTCCGGGCCAAGTACAATTTTGGCAAAGGTGCATCAAAGGGTGAGCCTACGTCGGGTGAGCCAAAAGGTCGGCTGTGTCTGCATTACAATCAAGGTGGTTGTAAATATGGGACTGCATGCAGGTACCTTCACAACGATGATGTAGCATTGGAAGGGACTTGGGAGCCCGGCAAAGCTTGGGACAATGCT